AGATCTCCTTCGACAGGTCGGTCACAACCTGGAGGACGACATGCGTTTTGGACATCTTAAGGATAAGAAGTCTGCCAAGCCATGAGGAAAACGAGAAAAGGAAACTTCTAAACCTTTAGGAAGATTCACGAAAAAGGAGAAAGGTTCGGGATGGAGAGACAACAAACCGCGGAAGACCGCTAATGTTGGCGCCAGGAAGCAGGTAGGGACGTCTGAATATGCAATTGCGCATCAAGGCATCCCTTCAACCCTGACTGATAAACGATGCAACAACAAGCAATGCACAAAGTGCGGAAAGGAAGGACACTTCTGAAGACAGTGTTCCATGACCTCCCCTGTCGTCCATGCTGTGAGGAATACCGTGGGAGTGAAACAGTCATACCCCCAAGCAGAATCCTCGACAAAAGGCAATAAGCGGTTTAAGCGCATTGAAGCGTCTCGTCCGCCGCCTTCCAGGCCTAAGCTCTTGGAAGCCCGTAAACCCTCCCCTACCATAATGCAGATTGACACGGATGTCGGAGAAGGTAAGAACCTAATCCTATAAACGAATAACTTAGGCTAATTTCCTAAGATCTATGAAGGTCTTGATGGAATTAGAAGGCCACTCAAGTGGAACGGATTAAGGCAAGACCCCATCCGCCTTAAAATAGTCCTTCAATTCTGACAAGTTTTCTACACAGGAGTGTCGGGAAACTACCTTGTCAGGTAGATGTTAGGGCACACGCAGTGTTTTGGGTTTCCTTTCGGTTCTTGGGTTTTGTTATTAAAATATTGAATTATTTCACATGGGACAGTTTCAGGGAGATTACTTTCAGGTTTTTCTTTGGATGAGCATTCTGCTCCGAGGGGTCGCTTCGGAAAATGGGAACTGCGCGACATTCGGATGGGGCACAAAGATGCCCTGTTTGGCACTAGTTGACTGAACGTCTCCGGAGAGCAGATGTATTTTCTTGTCTTATATGGGTCAGTTGTCTTGTACTTTGGAATTGGTTTAGGTTATTAGTCTTGAATAAAAGTTATCTTTCAAGTTTACCTGAGGAGGGTTTAGTACCCGAAATCCTGCTGGCGTAATAGTGAACAGCACTCCAATTCCCTTCATTGATTATAACTCTTTTTGAAAACATTTACCGACCCATTGTGGCTGCTCTTGTGTCGAAAGGCAAGAGACTATCAAGAATGAGTACCACAAGACAAAGTAAAAAAGTGAGGCACTCTAGCCCACCAAAGCATAGCAGATCTATTCACTTACGAGTGACATTAGATTGGTGCATAGGGTGTAGACATGTGAGTACCGAAGCGCTATTATTGTTAGACAGCGGAGCTACTGGACCCTTGCTAAGTAGCAAATGGGTCAAGCATACTCAAGCTCCTTGTGTGTGATGAAGGATTCATACTCCAATAAAGGATGCAAGCGGTAACCACATACCCGGATCAGGTCTTTATTATACCAAGTCATTGGATTTGAAGATAGGCGATCATGTGAATGGGATGCGCTTTGAGGTAGCAGAGATAGCCGACACTTGTGTCAATGGCTACTTACCTATGTCGTGGTTGAAGGACCACAACCCAGACATCAATTGGAAAGTAGGATCACTGACCTGACGCTAAGATTTTTGTAAGGCAAATTGTCTGACATAGCAGAGGCGGTTAGTTTACATGACCGATGAGGAATTGTTAGCAGAGGATCCTGAAAATGTATATTTTTTAGGGACAGTACAGTTCTCGGATGACCAAGGTGAAGATGTCACAGTCCGACTTCTACCAGAGTATAAGGACTTTGGAGACATCTTTAGTCAAGAGAGGATAGATGCATTCCCGGAACACATGAAGTATGATCATAGAATTGAGTTGCCTCTAGGAAGTACTCCTCCCTTTGGTCCCATCTATCCGATATCAGAGAAAGAACAGCAGTGCTCCATGAATTCATAAGTGAAATGTTAGGTACTGGGAAGATAGAAAGATCTACTTCCTCGTCCTCGGCTCCTTTTAACGACCCTATGTAATAGAACCATGGCAACCTATGTCTACGCCCATACATAAGACCAAGAGGTCGAGTGATAGACTAGGAGGACATACTAGATGTGTCTGAGGGATATCCGATGGTCCGGGTATCCCCTAGAACAGAAGGTACTTAAGGAATAGGTGTACCCATGTAGCGGGAATAAAGTAACTATGTCCGCTCCGACCTAAGGAGAGGTCAGACGGCCTGGTGAGTTTACCCTGCCTAGGAAAGTCACGTTACCCTATCATGGAGACCAGTTTTGTGACACCATGGACATACTTACCCTACCTTTGGGACACTATTACCCTACCTTCCGTCGGAAACGTTCTTGGAGGAATTGCGGGAAATGTTAGGATTGTTTGTCACACAAGAACGATTGACGAGCACTTGGTTGCACGACGATCGGAAGGCTACGGGAGGAGTAATAGTACTACAAACATGCTATAACTTGGCAGGAATATTCCTAAGAGGTACCTGCGGTCCCAGGGTTCGCCCCGGGCGTCATGGGTCAAAATGGTTGAAGTTGCCGTATTACTAGTTAAATGGAATCAATGAAGACATGTCCATAACATTGTATACGTCGCTGCCGTCCATACGATCGGAAGCTGTTCGCAGAATATATAAGGGGGCAAGGTGAGAAGGTCAGGTACCTTCTCCAAAAAGAACAGAGTAAAACAGACTATAACTGGCGGAGTTAGCGTGAGCTATCCGGAAGGGTCCCCTGAGTAGTCCCGGGTATTGCCGGAGACATCGCAGAAGGTTTTACGCCAATCATGCCTACACGTGCCCCTTTGCTGCAGGATCTTTATGGGTTGTTGGAAGACTCTAATAGTATGATACTTATCACGCTGAGTGGTGTGCCGGGGGTAAGGGATTATGGGTAGCGCCCATGAGTCCCGGCACCATCACAGCTCTCCGTGGGAGCGTCGTAGACCCTCTAAGTTCGCAATCTTGATAGATTGAACTTAGCCGGAAGACAGCTGATGTCTACGAGCGCTTACATAGATCATGGCATATGGGAACAGAGTCATTTAGTTAGCTTTCCCAGGTGGCTGAACAGTTAGCCACTGACGAGACACCGATGCGCAGAGGTTTTCACTTCGGCAGGGGTATTGGTAAATACCTTGCAGGACTGATATGCATATGGGAGAATTCTGCTAGAGTGCGCTGACACCTTAGGCCCTTAGGGGATGCGGTAATGGTGCTGGGGCAACCCTTACAGAGAAAGGCACACTCATATTAGTCAGGGTAATCTGATCGAGGAGTTTTTAGTATAAGTCTGACTACTTAAAGATTATACGAGAACTCTCCTACCCCAACAGAATCAACATCCTCTCGAGAGACTTTAGTTGAGATAAGCCTGAGCTTAACGATATTAAGTTTTACCGTTTACTTTTATTCTTTACACTTTGCAAGAGCCGTGTTCTAGAGACTCAAAGTTTTTTGGTGTGGTCGCATCCTTGGCATCCATCTTCCTGAGGGAGCCCCCATTACACAAACCCCTCTAAAAGTAATAGTCCATATGATCCCACCTGTCGTCTAGCAGACAATCATTCAAAGTGGGCAAGCCACTCGATGGTTAAATTGTCATTACTGTATCCCATTTCTGAGGTACCCACTAAGTAATCATCAGGAATACTGGTACTAGTATACCATGGCTCTTGGTGGATTACACCAGGTATAATAATCATTGGAGGTAATACAGTCCCATCTCCACTAATGGTTTCACAAACTGTAACCCGTGCTCGGTTTGTTGAGCTGACTATGTAGGACTGTCAACTTAGATCTCTTGTCTTGTGATAATCCACTGGTCCCGGCCAATCCCAATTCTGAACCCAGTTTCATCAAAGTTGTACTAATCGGCAGGCTGAATCTGATGTTCTTGACAAATAGCCAAGTATTTGGTAAACCAGGCTTGAATGTTGTCTGCTTGGTAGGCATTCTTGCAGTCAGCATCGATCGCTTGCTACTTGCGAATGAAGTATTCTGGATGACGATCCAGAAATCTTATCACCCATTGGTTGCTTACAACTGGGGCCGGTCCAGATCCTATATGACAGTTTTGCAAAATCCGATTTGCACATCCAGACACTATTTGAAGGCGGGCACTGGTACCTACCTTATCTAACCTGTCACGATACTGACAAACTGCTAATTCCTGATCCTCAGAAAGTTTGCGGTTGGTTCCTTCTCTCTCTTCTCTTGACTGACGTCCCTGCAGACGAGTGCGAAGTCAAGTGACAGGAATCTCATATTGGCGTGCAATAGCGGTAATGTTTGGATGCTAAGTAGTTTTGTTGGCTTTGAATGAAGGTAACAGCAGCTTGAATTCGTATCTCGATATCGCGATATGGTTCAACCCGCTGGCTGGGTAGAACAAAGGCTGGTGCAGGCGGCATAATTTGTTCAATTATGAGAAATATCTTGAGTGAGTTGGAGGTGTTTTTTGTTTTGCAGAATGTTTTTAGAAGTTATTAAATTACTATGAGTTATGGAATTAAACTAAGTTACAGGGTGGTGTTGAGCCACAAAGTTGTGTTGAGCCACTAATTTTCTATCGTGAGCCACAAAGTTGTGTTGAGGCGTAAAGTTTTGTTGAGCTGTCAGGCACTCTTTAGAGTGCCCCCGGTTGTGAGCTTGCGAACATGCGGGGGTTGTGGCGGCCAGCCACAACCTTGGCACGAGTATTCCATATCACGATTATCCATGGCATCGGAGGGATCACATGATCGGGTGTCGCTCGTCGCTTCCAAGATTACCCGTGCCAGAGTGCGAAATGAGACCTTTGGGTTGCGGCTCAATTCCTTTCAACCCTAACCCTCCACAATGCCGTGAAAACCCCACCACAGAAAAGCTCAGGTTAACCATCAGAGCATCGCGAGGAGTTGGCAAGGCACCTGCTCCCGGCCACAACACTCGAGTCTCCACCCCAATTCCGAATCCCCATTATCCTCCAGACTGCCTCCGCCTAGACCCATCGCAGTCCGTTTCCTACTCAATGGATATCCCCGCCTTCGCCGAAAAGCAAATAGAGCTTCTCCAAGCCGAACGCCATGCGGACATCACCCTACAAACGGCTCTCCTCTCAACCCTACCACCCAACGCCCTCATGCGCCACGGCCTCGCACTAACAAACCTCCTCCCAACCTCCCAACGCACCGGTTTCGGCGGCCGTACTATCATAGACCTCGAACCGGACTCGGCAATATTCCCCACTGGTCTCCTACCCCCGCATGGAATCCGCCAAGGCGACATAGTTCGAGTAGAAGCGCAGCCAGGAGGTTCGGCTAGCAAGAAGGAGAAAACCGAGGCCAAGGCTGCTGGGATTGAAGGAGTTGTGCATAGAGTTTTTGAAGGACGGCTCGCGGTTGCGGTGGAGGCTGCGGGGGATGAGGTTGATAGGGTTTGGACCGGGAAGAGGTTGTGGGTTGTGAAGGTTGCAAACGAAGTTACGTTCAAAAGAATGGAGAAGGCTATGGGGTTTCTGAAGACTGTGGGGGGGAAGGGTGATACAACTGGGCTGGTGGACGTTCTGTTTGGGAGGAGGGCCGCGAGGGATGTCGCAGAAGAATATGAGAAGATGGAGGTAAACTGGTTTGACGAGGGGTTGAACGACAGCCAGAAGCAGGCTGTTAGATTTGCGCTTGCGAGTGAGGAGGTCGGTGGGTTGTAGTTTTCTTTAAGGTTATGAATGGATGGTTGCTCACTATGGTGTTCGTCTAGCGTTGATACATGGACCCCCGGGAACAGGAAAGACACAAACATTACTAGAAATCATCCTCCAACTCGCTACTCCCCCAACAACAAATTCGTCCACTCCTCCAACACCAAAGAAGATCTTGGTATGTGGGCCGTCAAACATATCAGTCGATAACATTGTCCTCCGCCTCCCCTCCTCTCTCCCAACAATCCGCATGGGCCACCCTGCCCGCCTCCTCCCAAAGGTTATCGAGCGCAGTCTGGACAACCTAACCCGGACCTCTGAGCAGGGTGAGATAATCACTGACGTGCGTAAAGAGATGGATGACCTCTTGTCAAAGCTCAAAGCGACCGGAAAGGCCCGAATGAAAGGTCGTGCTCGAAAAGAAGGCTGGGACACAGTCCGCCACCTGCGGGGGGAATACCGTGAACGGGAGAAGAAGTGCGTTACCGAGTTAGTTAAATGGAGTGAAGTGCTTATCCGATTCACGCTCGGGTGAATGAGTGTGGGCTAATGACGCGTAGGTTGTATTGGCAACTCTCCACGGCGCCGGTAGCAAGCAACTCTGGAGCGAAAAATTCGATATAGTAATCATCGACGAAGGTTCCCAAGCCCTCGAGGCGCAGTGTTGGATTCCTTTACTATTAACAAATAAGTCTGGTATTCAAAAATTGATACTTGCTGGGGACCCAATGCAACTGCCACCAACAATAAAGTCGCATACAAAAGCTGCTATCCCAAAACCACCGAGGACAAAAACAGAAATACCGGGTTCCCTAGAAATTACGCTATTCTCGAGATTACTAGCGATACACGGCGAAGGGATAAAGCGCCTATTAACCACGCAATATCGAATGCACGCGACGATTATGCACTTTCCGAGCCAGGAGCTGTATAACGGCTCCTTGATCGCTGCACCCTCGGTCGCAGAGAGGTTGCTGTGCACATCATTACCATACCCAGTGACCGAAACCGAAGACACCTCCATCCCTCTACTATTCATAGATACTCAGGGCGGCTTCTTCCCCGAGGACCCATCCCCACACACCCCCAGCACCAAATCTCCAACCTCAGAGTCAAAGTCCAACACTCTTGAAGCACGTCTCGTAGCAACGCACATCCACGCCCTTATCACTGCCGGCGTCCGCCCAGAAGACATCGGCGTGTTGACACCCTACTCCGCCCAAGTCTCACTCATAACCAAGCTTCTCCGGGGTGCGTACCCGGCGGTAGAAGTCAATACTGTGGACTCATTCCAAGGACGGGAGAAAGAAGCGGTAGTGTTTTCACTCGTGAGAAGTAACGATAAACAGGAGGTGGGGTTTTTGAAGGACGAGCGGAGAGTAAATGTAGCTGTTACTAGACCTAGGTGCCATTTGTGTGTTGTTGGCGATGCGGAGACTGTAGGGCGGGGAGGGAAGGGGGCGTTTTTGGGGAGATGGATTGGATGGTTAGAGAGTGCGGAGGGGGTGGAGGTTAGGTATGCAGATGTGGGGGAGGTGCTGGCAGGGTGGGCGGGAGGGATTGAAATTGAGAGGGAGGATTAGCAGTTGGGAAATGCAGTAGTTGCGGACAGGAATTAGGTGGAACTACGCGCCGTGATTGCCAGGAGAAGCACAGCTATTATTCCAGTTGGAAGGTCTCCGCGTGCGGACTACATTTATGCAACCCATCGTCTAAATTACAGTGACACTTCTGATATGCCCCGCGCGCAACACCCCCACCCAAACGGCCTCCCCGGCCAATAACCTCCTATGGCCCGCCGAGCAGTGCCCCCGACCCATCCTCCACCCAACCAACTCACAACCCCTCACTCGCACACCCCGTTCTCCTAAGCCCCAGTTCATTACTAATACACCGCTATTCCCTTCCTTAGACATTCACGATCCCACGTAATAAAACACTACAGCCTTTCCACACCTCCGGAGGCAAATTTTGCTTCTCCCACCCTTCCAGTCCAGTACCCAATCTCTGAGGCCTCACCCCGATTGCGGTAGGGCTGTACGTAGACCATTCAAAGCGCAATAGTTTCCATATACTGTAATTATACTTCTACCAGATAGACTCGGGTTACCGCACTTCTTTCCAACATCCCTTGTCTTGGAACGCGATACCGAGGGCGGTCGTCGTGGCATTCGTTACGGTAACATTGACCAGGAACGTTGGAGTTTCCTCTCCCACGATACGGCAATAAGATTTGCGGTAACTTATCATACTGCCCGCACTCCCCTTGTCAACCGTGGCGGAAATGCGTTCCCTTGCCCCTTCACTTCGCGGTGCCCCAGTCCGGCGGGAGAAAGTTCCGTGCTGCCGCTGTGATATTCGGTAGCTGAGGGTTTTCCCGGGATTGGGGAAACCAGTGGCGGGATACGCTCTTGACCGCACTATAATAGTGATGTACCATCCATATCATACCTTTGGGAATACTATCATTGGTCTTGCGAATTCCGGGGGGAGGGGTGGGATTTGTCGCGTTGCGGTGGGAAGACCTTGATCGCGGTTTTCGCACCCCTGCAATTTTGTTGTATCCTCGGTCATCGGTTCCCGCTGCTAGAAAGCCATTCCACGGTATGATACAGTATGGTGCAAAGTGCCTAAAGGCGGGTCCTCCGGTGAAACAGCAATTCCGTTGTAACCAACCGGGTTTGGGCCAATAATTGCCAAGACATGATGAGTAAGATGAAATAACATGTTAAGGGAAATATGTAGAATAGAGGATTAACCAGAATTAGAATTTTTTATGCCTGTCATACTAATCACTGATTATTTCTATGTCTCAGTTATTTATACTCTACAGTATTTTTCAGTCTGTCAGTAGGTAGATTCTATCACTTGTTTCACTCTCACCAAAATTTTCACCTTTTAAACTTGAACTACTTTTTCAAATAACACTTTATTAAAAAAAAAAAACCTCAGGCCTCTTCTCCTCTTGAATATCTTCATTGCTAAGGTTTTTTTTAATTTTTATTCCTTGTTGTGGTTGACTAGTTCAATTTCGGGTTTGCCTGTTTTGAGGACCCACTTTGTGTCACTTTGCACCATATGATACCTCAATGCGATCCCGTAACCCTAACCCTACCGCAAGCCAACGGCTAGTGCCGGACAACCGTACGGTACAGTACTCGTTGCAGCCGGTACATCGTTTATCCGGTTACCCAGCGCGTGGGAGGCTCCCGCTCATTTCTTCTGCGCCCCAGCACTCCATTCTAGCGCCTGTGAATCAAGTTAGCCGCAGTATAAGATAATAGTACTTTACTAGTACAACCCGCGGCCAAAGCCCAAGATACTCGATGATATTTCCAGCAGGCCACGGGGGGCAATGGATATCGGCCATGTACTATGATACCGGTGGTATTCAAAGCCGCTCCAACAAAACTCACTCTCGCCGCCTCGTGAACTAGTTCTCCATCAGCACCCCCGTAACCGGAAGGATATCCCGTTCTTTCATGGCGTGCAGATGATTGGCTCACGTGTGTATGCAACTCTGTCTCACGTTCCCCGCTATTTTTTTCAGCCGCTTGGTGTTTCAGCACCGTTCGTTTGGCAGTCATACGGGACTGAACCTATACGGTAAGGTACAGGATACCTGAGCAATGTTTTTCCGTAGTGCATGGAGCGCAGGGATAGCACCGGTGTTATGGCGGGGGGGGGGGGCTAAGACCGAACCAGTACTAGTACCGTAAGAAAATAGTAGTACAGTAAGCAAGTAAGATGCAAAATTCCCAATCGGTAACTCACTACCTCATCACAATTTTCAGCCGCCAGTGCTTGTGCCGAGTTTTTCAATTCTCCTGCGAGTACGGTACCGTACTGGTAAGAGTACCGTACAAGTGCCAGGGATAATGTTTTCGCACAGTTAATTTAGGTTAACCCGCAAAACAATCCCTGTCTTGTACGAAGACATCTCCCCTGGCACTTGTACAAGTACAGCACAGTCGCACAGCTCCCTCCCCTTTTCGCCAATCCTAATGACCCACAGACGATCACTCGCTCACGTGCTACTACCGTACTCGTATTATTACAACCAAGCTAGACACCCCGTATCGGAAGATCACTGACGTGTTTTCTACCGTACTCGGAAACGCTATCCCGCATAGACTAAGCACAGCGCGGGGGAAATCGAGTCTATCATACAGTAGCCAATCAACCAACCGTGATCATCAAAGACGTCCCCGTTACAGGTACAAGTACAGTACTCGAGTACGGTAGTTAGTGTTCGCTCGGGTACCATGATGGGATGAGCACGTACGGTAGAGTCTTTCTACCCAGACTCGATTCAACCAACCGGCAGAGACTTACGGTACCGTATGGAGAAAAAACAAACAAACTAAAACTATTCAGCCGCTTTGGTGTTACGGTGCGGATAAGCTGAGTTGATGTTTCTTTCTTTTCGCAGAGTTTCTCCTGACACGATGAATGGAGCTCCACGAGATAAAGTACAGTACGATACTAGGTCTGTAGATATGATATGATAGGGATTTTTTTTCTTTAATTTTCTCACCGCTAGTTGCTAGCGATGATGGGGAATTATGATTTACCTGCAAACTACCTACCGCAACGGGTGGTTCCGGATGCTATTTTAGGCTGGGTTAGTAGTGTACAGTATGTACCTACTCGTATACAAGTACCGGTACCGGTAGCATCCATCAGAGTTCTTATGCCCGGCTTAAGATTACCTGCAGGCTGGGATCCGGGTTGTGTGATTGGGGTGTGTGCTGAAGGCATATTTCGGCAAGGGGTAAGCTTCCTTTGTTAAGCGATAGCGGGCGGACGGGCGGTCGGGATGGGCTGAGAGAAATGACGTGATGGCTGGAGGTGGAGGGGGGGAGATCCTGCGGGATGAAGGTATGATATAATATAAGACTGCGGGGTGTCGTGAGATTTTTACGTGTCGTATTTCTGAAAGGAAGACGGCTGAAATGCTCTACTCTGGTGGCCTTTACTTTGGTGGGAATCGCTATAAAAGTCGCTACGCCGACGCGTCTTTTGCGACATGGTTTCTTCGGACCATAGTCTTTACAATCATGGCAGCCGCTTCAGTCAATACCGCTACTTATACCGATGAGAAACGTAGCTACCTACCGCCCTTCCCCAATTTTTGTCAATTGGTGCCGATAACTAACCTACCCCGCCAGCAATCCCCACCACCTTCGGCGTCCTCCTTTTCCCGGGCTTCCAAGCCTTAGACGTCTTCGGCCCCATCGACGTCCTAAATACCCTCGCTCTCTCAAAGAAGCTAAACCTCTACATAATTGCCGAAACCCTGGACCCTGTGACCACCAAGATCGCCGCAATCAACACAAGCCCCGAATTCAGCGAGTCCATCGTGCCGACCCACACCTTCGACACGGTCCCCCCACTCGACTTCCTCCTCGTTCCGGGCGGGCTGGGCACCCAGGCACCGGGCCTAGACCCTACCCGCGATTTCGTCAAGAATATATACCCGTCGCTAAAGTACCTCATGACGGTGTGCACGGGGTCCGCACTGATCGCGCCCACCGGCCTGCTCGACGGCCGGCGCGCAACGGGGAACAAAAAGATATGGGCGTGGGTCACCAGTCAGGGGCCGAATGTGAATTGGGTAGCGCAGGCGAGGTGGGTGGTCGACGGGAACATCTGGACCTCTTCCGGGATCGCTGCGGGGATGGACGCGATGTATGCCTTTGTCGGGTACATCTGGGGAGAGGAGCAGTCGAAGGACCTGGCGATGACTTTGGAGTATGAGAGGCATACGGACGCGGATTGGGATCCCTTTGCAGAGTATTGGGGCGCGACGTGGCCGCTGACGCCCGGGGCTGGGGGTGGAAACGGGGGTGCTGGTGCGGGTGGTTAGCGGGGTAGGGTTAGGTTTGGTTAACTGCGAGTGGGGATGAGTGTGCGTGCTCGTGGTTATGCAGTCATGATTTGGGAAAGTGGGGAATTGATAACGAGTTTTACAAGTATTCATCTGTAACTGTGATAACGATAGCCGCGAAAATCGTGCCTCTGAGATTTTTCTTAGTGGTTCGCTAGGCGCCACCATCACTTAGCCTGTGTGATGTCACCTCCGTGGAAGCTTGATCCAACGTCTACGAGTAATCTCTCTTGGGTGGCAGCTTCGGTGATGAACATGGGTACCGCCACTCTAGTGTAAATACTGGCACAGCACTGTGGAGACCAACATGTGAATCGTTCCCTCTAAGCACCCCACCTGGGTGCCTTAGCCTTAAGCAAGTTTAGTTTTGACAGGGCTCACGTGGTAGCCCTTGCCGGCACAGTACCGCTCGTGGAAATATCGGATACCCGTATGATAGTACTGACTATGTGACCAGAGAGCGAACATTTCCGGTGAGGCTGTGGCGGTGATGGGGGATGTTCGACAGGCTTATGCCCAAACCCCCAGCACTGGGGGGGATGGGTTCGATCTTTTGTCCGGGAACAGCTACCCCCAGTGTCGAATCTCAAGTCAGCCGGGAGGGTAAACAAGCAATTCTTCCCAATATATGGTCACAATACTGTTCGGGTATGGATACTGAGGCGGCTGGTTTAATAAATGAGTGTGGGGTGCATAGAGATAATACATAGGAGGCGCTGAAACAAACCCATTGTTGGCGCGTTGTGAGAAGAAACCAAAACGGAGGTGCGACTCTACAACCGCAACAAAAGGGGGGAAAGATAACACGCCGGTAGCCTACCACCTCACCACCTCTACTACTACCTCCGTGGACTATGGGGAGACTGCGGGGGAAACCACATTATACTACAAACAACCCTAGAAATGGTTGAAACATTGGGGCTGACAAGGTCCTACCCCAAAGACGGGCGGACTGGACGGTTGGCAACATTGCCTCTCTTATTGTTGCTCGTAGCTCGTCGGGGGAGAGACCAAAGTTGTCCTCAGGTGACTTGCCTTCTGCAGCTAGCTCACCGAACTTGTCGTGCAACACTTCATCATAGGTTAATTGCAGCCTGACTCGTATGACTTTGGATTCCTGGGAATAATTGCTAAAGGATTTCCATTAGTACAGATCAACCCGCTCGTCAGGACGGAAGTTAGGGCTGAATCAACGCGCTTTCCTCCATCTTTCACACTTTGGCCATTGACAAGATGCCACTTCTCGACAAAACTTTCTTGTATCATGGTCTCACCTGCCCCGAGTGATCTGAGCATTACTAATACTACTTTTCTAATCCTGCCCTCGGTCCTCGAATCCCTCAAGTAAGAGCTTAGCATTATCCCGGAGGTGCCCGTAAGGTTCTGCGTATCCGATTTCGAAGACAACGGTGGGCGAGCTGCGGCCCCAAGGTTGAAATGAGAAGTCAGGAACCTTGACTCTGATCAGATGTCAGGCGACTGTAAACTAAGGAGGGTGGTTGGGAAACAATTGTCTTATCGGAGTGCTTACACATTCGCATAGTACCCCCGAAACCCTTCCAGCTGGGACTCCGCCATGAACTTAACTGCCCTATCATTCACAAAAGCACCCAAAGTGTTCCATTTTATGAGCATTCTTACCACCCAATCATGTGCGGATGAGTGTATTGGAGTCGGCATTTTTACTCTCGAGCTGGCCGCCCAGGGAGGGTATGTGTGACTGTGCTCGAGTAAGCATTGGAGGACTAGGACCCGCTCGCTATGGTGGTGTTAGCTATACTCACGATCGCTTGGAGTCATCCAATTTCCCCAATTCATCATACTCTTCAGGCAGTACATCTACAGTATGTCGATATAGGTGTATTGGAGGAGTAGTTCAGAAAGGTTCTCGGGCGTCATTAGGGATGGAAGAGTTGGTATGGGTAGGAGCGGAGAGAAGGAGGGGGATAGGTGAAAAGTGGCGCGAATTGTTTGCCTCGGGCAAGGAAAAGGGGGTTGCTTTGGACGAAGTGGCAGTGGTCGAGGTTTGTCCGGGCAACTAGTTCTTGCGATTGGGTGTCTATCATAGCGCTCGAATAGAGCTTGCGATGGATAATGTGCAGGGAGCACGGTTACAACAATTCCAGCCTCGCTTCCTCTTCGTTCAGGCCCGAATTTCACCACATACCGTGAATTCGGAAGCTAGCTAAATCAGATATCTGGGATCGTCGGCTCTCCCAGATCAAGGACAAAGCACCCCCGAAGGGATAGCGTTTCCCGGACGGGTATCGCTTAGGGAGCCCGAGCACACCGGATCCCGTTAACCGGTAAAGTCGTGTCGGATGCCAATCTAAGTCGGGCCGGCGGGGACGTCAGGAACCTGGATACGTAGATCCAGGATGTTTGAGTCGTATCATCCTTCCACTCGCCTTCTATCTGTTTCTGGGGACGTATCAAAGGGGTAAGATTGCCATATGAAAACGCAGTCCGGTAGCCTGCGGAGGTGGGTTCTTTGATAAAAGTATGATATGATATAGGAAAATTTAGGACATGGCTCCAATTTCATCGTCTGTCCTCTCCTCTCTCCTTCTCTCTCTACCCCATCTCTCCTTTTACTTCGACCCCCCCCCCCCCCTTTCTTGCTATTTCTTGGGCTGGGGAAGAAGGAAAAAAAAAGAAAGACCACCTCGACGGAAACGCTTTTCAGTAGTTCGGGATTTGACCTTAAAACCAGCCTCTTGAGATCAATTTCTGTTCAGTGTGCTTCGAGGACGTGAACCAGTAAGTCATGCTGAGTGTCGTTATCAGGAACGGCCAGAACTTGCTACTCGTCCAGGTAGGGAAGAAGGTTGAGTTCACCAGCATGGGACCAGTACCCCAAATTTACTTGGCGATATCTCGAGGTGCGTCCTTCCTCTCCTAGAAACCCATTTCAGTTGCGGATCGATGGTACAGTAAGTACACCTTGTATCCAGTACAAAATTCCATCATCTTCACCCTCTTATTTCTTGCTGCCGTATGACGTTTTACTGGGTGCCTGGTTACGGACGATCTCGATTGCCGAAAGAAAAAACCGCGAGGCCCAAGAAATAGACCGAGCGATCCACGAAGGCCCTGGAGGATCCACGTGAGCTAGGGTATCGTGGTTGCGCACTATTGTCTCCATTTTTGGCTTTTACTCTTTCACTCACGTCCTAAATGCGTTTCGTCACGCTTTTCATCTTGTCATGTATGTGGAGGGACACGGGGGGGTCCGTGAGTGTTGAAAGGTACGATATGATATCACGAGGGACGAGAGAAGTAAGAGGGAATTGAGTTGAGATTTCTGGGCCTGGGAAACCGGAGGCTCATAAATGAAGGTGCGATAGATGTGTGAGGTCACCAGGGATCACTCATGGTGATATGTATTAAGGTGGTATGAAATAGGTCACGTGCGAAAATTCCGGCAAAGGACTGAGGGGGGAATAACAGAAATTGGCGTTAATTCATTGGCCTCTCCCCTGATTCGGTTAACCACCCAGTAGAAAGGAAAAACACACTAGAAAAGAAAAACAGAGAGGATAGGGAACAGAAAAATCGCGAATTATGACTGCATTACCTCCAACTCTCGCCCTCGCTCTGTCCAACCCACCGAGAAAATAAGAGAAACAGGTGTTCACAGTCCCAAGGCCACCCGGACAACCGAAGCCACAACCTCCCTATCCCCCTGGGAGTAAAGCCGCCCAACCGCCTCCTTAGCCTTCGAAACCATGAGCTCCCACTCTTCCACTAGCTGCGGGAACCTGCTCTCCAGCGCAAGGATGACCGCCACCGTCGCGACAAAGTCCACATCAGCGTGCGCCATTTCCAACCCGCAGTTTTGCAAGCCTAGCCATGCGAATATCCTGTCGGCTGATTTGAACATCCCGCTGAATTGCTGGAGGGTGGCAATTTGGGAGACCAGTTCGTGGGGTCCTTTTGGATTCAGCTGCGATCCCACCTGCTGGAATTGTTGCGCGGGAGGGGGAGGGGAGGAGGGGCTGTACCCCGGTGATGAGCCGAAGGCTAGATATGGAGAGCCATCGGAGTCAGAGGATGATGGGAGGGGTATTGGGGCTTTCATGGCTAGCTGGACTCGCTCGGTGTCCTGTGCGCTCGGATTGAACAAATTCATTTTCTCGTAGCACACCGTTGGCCTGGTGCTTGGCCGTGGTGCTGCGCCAAAGAGAGCACCTCCCGTCCCCGCTCCCATGACCCGACCTCCGAACAGCCCACCAGATAGGGTTGTCCTGCCTTCCGCCCCCCCTCCGATCGATAGTGCTTGCGCCTGTTGTTGCCCGTGAGGGCTCATAAATTGCATCGCCCCGGATTTAGGGGAAACGGAGGCAGATTGTGCAAACGCCCAGAACCCAGGCCCCATGGAAGAGGGAGACGCGGATTCAAAGCTGGCGGTTTGCTCTCCCTTCGCAAGTACATCTTCGCTCGCATGCACTTCTCTAGTAGATTCATCCTCTGCGACCGCTACGAATGAAGTCCACTTGCTGGCTAGCCCGAATTCCAGGCCAACCCTTGTCCCTTCTTTTGCGATCAGTTCGGCGCGCTTTGTTGGCTCTTTTGTCTCGTCGTAGATGCCCTCGAGATACGAAAGTCGCCCTTCTTCGAGGTCTTGGAGGAGTTTGCGTCCGGCTAGCTGATATAGACCGAGTGATGCCCCTACGGATGTGATGGCATGCACGGGGATTTCGATTTGCAGTGGGCAGATGGTATTTGAGTTGGTGTCGTGGGCGGAACCCTTGAGGAACACCTTTTCCGGTCTGTGGCCGTTGGATATCAAAAAGTAAACGGTTGCCCGGGAGTATGGAAACAACGCGGGGACCATTGTGGGCGCTTGAACGACCTTTGGTAGAGTAAGAGTGGGTGTGCCACTAGACGGAGCGCTGGGGGTGCTGTCCGGATCGCAGTTTGGGTCGAAGAGGGAAATGGGTGCAACGGTGCCGGGAGCGGGAGTGGCCAGAGTCGCGCGTTGCGCTTCGGGCTTTCCCGCCCAGTCCACGCCCCAGTCGTTGACATGAGGTGTTAGTGCTGCCTTCAACATGCGCATGACCTTCTTCTGGAGATTGCTGGTGGTGCTGACAATCTGGGAATATCCCCTTCCAGCCCGAGATATCCCTTCCACAAGACCGTGCGAAACCGTGTCCCCGACACCGAGTGAGAAGAAGCGAACATTCCCATCCTCGGAAGATTTCTTGATAAATTGAAACATGCTTTCCGTATTCCAAACCTCTCCGTCGGTCAGGATAAGGATCTCGGTCCTCATATCCGGTCGCCGCCTGCTCATGGTGTCAGTCACTGGAGCAAGAATTTCCGTTCCACCCATGTCGGAATCAAGCCTCATGACATGCGCCTTCGCCACGCTCAGGGACTCTTCCGAATATTTCCGCGACCGCGGCCAGAGGGATGAATGGTTTGATCCGAAAGAGCATATATTAAAGTACGAGCCTGCCGGCAACGAGGCCAGGAAGAGATGGAGAGCGGATCGGACAGTAGCAATTTTATCAAGCATCGACCCTGACCGGTCAACAACGAATACGATTTCATGACCTTGCGGCGGAAGGACGAATTTCGGAACCATCGTGATCATGAGTGTAGACGTACCCGCAATGGCCGGGTGGGGAGCGAAAAAAGCTCTGGGGTCGCCGATATTGTTGGCATTGATGAGAAGGGTAAAATCCTTGTCGAGCCCCATCAGGGACGGCAAAGCAAGAGCAAGCGTTGCGTGCGCCTTCTTGGGATCGTAGTCCGCGTCGTCGGTACTGGAATGGGAGCCAAGGCCTATGGAGATGGGGTGGCTAGGGGAAGAGATACCCCGGATGGCCCCACTCATAGTGGCGGTGACAGAGAGGCAGAGCCCCACATTCTCCGCGTCACCGATATCCCGAATCTCCCGCGAGAAGAGGCCCCAACAAGCCCGCCAGCGATTGCCGAAACCCAAGTCCTTGGCGATGGGGTGCTCCCCGTACTTTGGAGCGATGACGGTGGGAACGACGAGCTTGAGCCCATCGACATCGATGTCCTGCTTCAATTCGTGCACGTACTTGATCACCACCACCACCAAACTGCGGGCCGGAATGTTTCCGAGGCTGGTGGTGAATACCTCACAGGTATCCTGTGAGAACAAAGCGGTGACCTTTCCGGCAGATTTGGCGGCTTCGTAGATCGCTTTCGCCTCGGCCTTCTCCTTCACCACTCCCTTGATCGTCCTCTCCCCAACCAAAGCCTGGAAATCCGTGACGGCGGAGGATTCGTAGAGAGGGAATGTATACCTAGCTTCAGCGATATCGGTGCTGGAGGAGTGGCTGTTGCTATACACCTGCGTGAGTGTATGTGAGGCGGTGAGATCCACGAGGTGAGACCTCAGTGTAGTCGAAATGAGTGGAAGCGATCGCTGGGAGCCACATTCGAAGTAGGAAACCCTGGCGGTCATGGTGATTATTGGTGTGGAGCTGAGGGCGCGTTTGGCCCAAGGATGGAGAATTTTCGGGGGGGGGATCAAGGGGGGTTCTTAAGGAGTTTGCTGGGGCTAAGATAGTTAGGGCGAACTGCTTGAAATAAAGTTATCGTATCATAGGTCCTGAGTCAAGTTTGTGGCTTGGGGCGCCGCAGACATCACGTAGCCCACTTTTTTCCCCGCTCATTGTCTCACGGCGAACATTTCAACGGGGATTGTCGTGACCCAACGCCGGTAACTGCCGGATGAGGTGTTTTGCTAGACTCAAGGTTTTGTAGACTATGATGACTGGAACCGAAAGCGAAAGCTGAGTCCCAATACCCTGGCTTGGCGGGCCGACAGCGTCAACGGTATTCCTTGGCACCCGTGGTTGTTGCAGCCATGTTACAGCCAAGTTATGATTGGACATGAAACGGCGGTGCCGGGAATGTGGCTGCATCGTGCTTGCCATATCGGTACGCTTTTAGATGAGGAGATGGAATCATGCTGAGAAAGCTGACGGTAAAACACGGGGAAGAAGATGGGCGGAAAGGATGGAAAACAAACCCACTTTCCGCCACACCCGTACGAGAACAGCCTCAGGAGCTTGGCGTAGTGACTGTGCCGCCGAATTTCTGCTCTTCGTGATGGGCTGGACCATTCCTTCGTCCTTGGCCCTTGCACGATACAGTACCGTACCTTATGACGCGTACCTATCGCAAGCGAAAGTCTGGGACTTATCGGGGTTAGTCCCGGGGGTGATACAGAGCCTTACCATACTCTGCCGTAGCAGTGGAGTACAGGATCTGTCTCCCGTAGATAATCAGGGTTAGGGTTTCCCTTGCCTTGTTCGTCAGTCACCTTCAACCGCATGCTGCTAGGGTGAAGTAGAGTAGTTCGCAACCTTTTGCCCTCCGCGCAATAAGGAGGATCTGGGCATCGGGCCAGCTTTCCCGTGCGCTTTTTTTGGGAGTGGGTAGTTCGATCCGATGGGCCATGGTCTGGGTGACTGTTGGTGGGGATATCAGGATGCTTGTGGAGTTCTGACTACCGATAGAGGTTGGCTGGCTTGGGGCTGTGTGACCGTCTTGAGGTCTTGGTATCCGTATCAGGAACCGGTGCTCTTCTCGAGTGCAAGTATACGAGTAATCATGTGCTTGTATGGTGGAACTCAAAAAGCATCATGTGAGAGCCTGATAGCCCATATAACCAGAGTTCCTCCCCTCCTCTTATCTTGGAACCATAGTGTATCCCATGTAGCGTGCCAGGGAGATGAGGGAGGTGCGGGAGAACAAGGCATACAGTATAAGTTAGGGGGCTACCGGAGTGATGTTTCCTGATCGCCGCGCCACACGTCCAGATTGCTATGAAACTGGGCACACGGTTGGGATTGGTGATCATTGGATAGTAATCTCGATATTGGAATTTGCGTCCACTTTATTGGGGTAGCATCCGTGGTATTGTGGGGAGTACCGGTACTGTGTATGAAAATCAGTATTGAAGGGAGTGAAGTATGGTGCGCACAAGCCAAGTTCTTTTGCACTAGAATACTCATTCTGAGTCATGGATGACAGATTGGTGGGCAACCAGGAGGGGAATTTTAAACCTCGGGTCGGCGAAGGCTACAGCGACTGCGAAAACGAACTGCGAAAACAATGATACGAACGAAACGAAACCAGCGAATGGTGGAACGGGGCCAATGGCGCACAACGGACTAAGTCCTATCCCCTCTCACTGGCAAACAAACAAAAGCTTGCAAAGGAAAGACAAACTCCCGCTGGTCATAACCTCCGGCCTTCCTTAGTCGTTCGTGCATTCCTTCCAGCCTTCCCGCCTTCCTTCCGGCAGACGCACTGGTCCAAGACTCGCGGGAATTCCCGCTGCCATGGTGCTTTCCCGAAAAGCCAAACTGCGCGGGTGGATGCTAGGGTGCGCCCGGAGCCGGAACGTGCTCCTGGAGACTATGTGAACAAACAGACAAACTATCATGAGAGCGTGCCGAGCAGCACCTCGCGATTTCGAACAGGAAAGAAATGTTTCAATTGAGAGATACCAAGGACGGCGGATGGGGGAGGTTAATTTTTAGGATTTATCAAATCATGTAGAGTGCCCAGGCTCATAAGAAGGGGGCCACGGGCACGAAAGGTATAAGGTGCGCCAGCCGTTTCCCGTCTGTCCCATGTTTTTAGGTCCTCTCTGACTCTCTGAGTTCTTTGGTGGGTTATGGCAAGAGTAAATCTATCTGCACTCGCTGATACTGGAGAGCTGTGGGAATCACTGTAGAACAGCCTGTGAAGAACTTGACCAGTAACGGTAATATTGATGGTGGTAGAGGAAGCCAGCAGAAGGCAATGAAACCTTGTTCCACGATGGATCTTTAGCCTCGACTATTCATCTATGAAAAAGACTGCCCTGCAAGAAAGAAAAGACCCAGAAAAGAGAGAAAGGAAAATTCCGGGAATGCTTGGCTTCTGCCCTCCGTGTTCCTACTTCCTCCCTTTTCTCAGCTCTACCCCTTACTAGCCACTTTTCCATTGTCGTCATCCATAGAAAGGGGTAGAAACCTCCAACTAGCAAACAAAAGCTGGTCAATAACTATTGTCGTTATCTCCTACGAGTATGTATGTCCTCCTATCTCCCCAAAATGTAGTATATTGGCCCGCCAAGGATTGGTCACGATACAGGGTAATGTTTTGGAAAAAGAGCGATAACCGCCCCGTCCAAGACAATAACGGTAATTAGCATACCCCGCCATTCCCCATAATTTGAAACCCGATATCCCCCCGAAAACTCGAGATGTTTTACTTTCTCTCTATCGATGTATCGACGTGTCGAGAATCGCTCACTCCATCATCTAATAGAGCCAAAATTCTCACCGGAGAGGTTCTCAAAAATCTTTTGGGGTTTGAGGTTGGGCAACATTCTCTTCACGGGGTATGATACTGTCGGACATGTACCGGCACGGGTAGATTGCCGGAAGGTACTCGAGTAGATAGCGGCCAATGGATATCTACCGTGTGTATATAGAGCCCTGTTTGCTGTGGCAATTGGTAGGGAAGAACTCTGCCCGTCAACGTACCGCGGGAGTCCCCCTCACCGTATTGGGCTTAGGATCTCGGATAGGGTGCAAAATGAGCAAATCGTTTCCCACTCCCCCGAGAGCTTCGAGGGGCCTACGCTAGCGTGCCGTACTTTTCCGAGAAACACTCCCGCAATGGCAACGGTGGTCCGAAGAGGTGATTGAACGCGCAAGCTCGCCCTGCACACTCGCTTACTCATAAACCTTAATACCTTCTACCTCCCCCCCCTGCCCCCATCGCTCTTTCCGCCTACTATCTCCCTTTTTCCCCGTACTCACCAACCCCATCATTGACAGTCTTCATCTCTATCATCCGTTTGCTCCACTTCTCCATCAGGATTCTTGTTTTCTTCATCACTGCTTCCATCCATTCATACCTGTACCTTCCGCAAGCACTTCCATCATGCTATTAAAGGCCATAGGCTAGTTTGGGAAATTCTGGCACTTGGAGCTATCCTATTCACTAACTGAGAATTTTGTGTTTTCCAGGGATGGTTGCAAGATACCTAACGCCGATCCCAGCAATTGTCACCGGCCTCAGAGGGGCCGCGATTTTCGCTGTGGGCCAGATTTGGGCACAAAGCCGGGCCCAGGCTGCTAGAAACGAACAGCAACAGGAGCGCATTGTGGCCCTGCAGGTAGAAAATTTGCAGCTCAAGCAGGAGAATCGTGTCCTGTCGAGCAGCGAGACGACGAGACTTGGCGAGGTGATTGCCGCACTTGCCAGACAGCAACTGGAGTCACAGGGAACGGGTGTAACTGTGCAGAAGTTGTAGTAAGATCTTTTTCCGTTTCCGTGTAGGAGTTGTTTCCTTGTATATTTTCCCCATTTATTCTCTGCTCATAGTACTCGCTGTATTATTATTCATGATAGCCTAGGAAGGGTGATATCTCAATTTCTGTCATGATTTTCCGGAAATTGAAACGGGTGGGGAAAGAAAACCTCTCTAACAGATACGGACGACATTTCTATTTCCATTATCCCAACTGGTATCGAAGTCCTATGACAAAATCAGCCCCCGAAGTCCACCCCACCTGCACTGCCTCACAAAAGGTCTACTGTTTCTCCATACGGGCAACCCACTACATGAGGAGATAAAGAAGAAAGAACGAAAGCAGATGTATATAATAGACATTGCATCTAACCCCACCCCTCCATTGCATGCGCTAATAACCTGACGGACGGATCCATACTAAACGTCATAAGATTTCCATACATTGAATTCCCGCTCGCCATATCCTAAATAGGGGGGCGCATACCGGTACTGTACTCGTAGTGTTCTTCTCTGTTCACTCTAACTTTCTCGGGGCAAGCCCACTGCGCGGGAGGTCGATTGTCCGGTCGTCCCGGGATGGCTATGGCCCCGCCGTGCCGTGGGGTCACCATGTGGGTGAAGAGGAGAAGATGTCGGAAATGGTTGTCCCTCCGGACTGTCCCAGTTCCCGTTTCGGAGCGTGTTTAGCTAGGGCCGAGATGGCGCCAGCCCGAATATAACTTTAGCTCGGGCCTTCTTGGCATTGAATAGATATTATCGAAAGTTACCGCCAAACTTGAGTACCGTACTGGGGTAGTAATATCAGCCTTATGAAGATTCATATTTCTCTACCTTCCCACCGCTAGATTGCACAGTATTATAAAACGGAAGAGGAGGAAAAGGAAATCGGGTGATTGCTTGTGATTGGATGTGAATTGTTGCGGTGTTCAGAAACATGCCAGTTGATTAGGGACACGACGTAGGGCTAGGGCTGAAATGTGAGAGGGGGGAGTCCGATGCTGTGCTCCTTTATCTTGTGTTTTTGTTATGATATGACTGGTCCATCGTTCCCATTTTTGGCCACTGCCGGTATATTGGAAGTTCGAGAGAGCGCGGTCACTCTATACGACGCATGGGTAGTTTTCGTGTTTGATCGCGCTGGTTGGGATAGCGCTTTAATACAGGTATTTTCCATCATGGAGATTGTGGGGAGCTACACGGTCCTGAGTGTGAGGATATGTATTAGGGGGAGTAAGGGTGGAGTTATGCACGCGATAGGAAGCGTTGGGGCGCGTGAGGGAGATCCCCCAGAGAGTGAGGGAGGGGGTAGGAGGACAGTGAGCGGCAACCAGCATTCCCGAAAGTGAATTATTATTATTATTTTAGTAATGGTGGAGGGCGGGGT